GGTAGGAGAGGGATTAATTTCAGGCCAGTTGGGGGCCACACGCTGAGTTGGGTAAGGGGAGGGATGGAATGGAAAGAGTCTGTGACCACCATGATGATACTAGGGAAAGGGAGGACACCAAATTCTGCACATAAAGTATAGATGACAGAGGCTAATACCAGTATACCCACAATACTACATTCCATTAACACCAAACACCACACTACAGATTAACACATAAATATAAGATCAGATGAGGGTCAGTGAACAGGATTATACTCTGACCAAGGATAGATTCAGCTGAGGCTAATTTTGCAGAGATACCAGTGATACAAAATACCTGTAATCCTTACAGAAACAACAGAAGGCAGACATAGAGCAATCCCTCATAGATAGCCAGGCACTATGGGAGAGAGATCCAACAGATCCACAACTTAGGACCATAGTATTGGGTGAGAGCAGACTCAATTGGCACAATAAAATACATAAAAATCTTGTTGCACAACCTACATTGGTGAGTGGTAACTGGAGTCTTAAAAGCTTCCTAGTGGCCATCTAAGATACAGCTAATGGTCTCCTATCATTGGAAGTGAAGAAGAGTGCAACAACAACAACAACAAAAAAGGACATTTGGAAGCAATCAGCCCTAGGATATGATGGACCTGAAGACCAGAAGAACTAGATGGTGCCCAGCTACCAATGCCAACCACTCAGGAAGGGATCAAAACTGGAGATACTGGATAGTGTGGGAGGAAAAACATGGAACAAAATCCAAAAACAATAATGACCAGAATTACTGGTCAGATGGAGTCTGGTGGGACCCCCAAAACTATGGCCCTGGGATACACTTTGGGCCTGGAATAAAACTTACTCCCAAGGGCTGACTTTTAGCTCAACAGTAAATACAATGTATCCACACACCACTAACCCAGGGAAATGCACCCACATACTCTTTGTGGATGCATTCCCTTGAAGCAGTCGACCATGGGACACCAGAGGGGAAACATTCACACGGAGGAAATGCAGAACACACAGGAGTGCATAACTATGAGGGGTGTGGGGGGAGTGGTTACTGGGCAGGGAGGGGAGGAGAGTGGGTTAGGGCTGGGGATGGTAATTGAGGAGTGAAACCAAATGTACATGAAATGTTGAATGTAAAACAAACTCTGCTCTGTAAACTTGCACCTAAAGCACAATAAAAAAATAATTTTTAAAAAAGAAGAAATAGAGGGAAGCTTCCTTTAACTTAGGAATCTCTAGGTGGTACAAATGGTTAATGTGTTAGGCTACTAATTGAAAGGTTGGAGGTTTGAGTCCACCCAAAGGCACCTTGGAAGAAAGGCTCAGTGATCTACATCTGAAAAATCAGGCCTTGAAAACCCTGTGGCACACAGTTCTATTCTAACACACATGGGGTCTCCCTGAGTTAGAATCTATTCAACAACAACTGATACTGGTCCTTTAACTAAAATGAGATTTGGAGACTTGATGTGGAAAGGACTAACCAAATGTATCCCAGGTAGGATTTTTTTAAAAATAAAAGATACCCAAATATATCATGATGAAATTTTAGAATTCTAAAACTCTGAAATCTTACAAATTTCAGACTAAAGGAATAGATTTTGTACCAAAATAAAAAGAATCCAATTAGTATTAAATTGTACATCTACAATGCTGTTAGCCAGAAGATAAGGGAAGGAAGTGTTTGCAGAATAATGTAAGTGATGGATGCAGTCCGAGAATCTTATACCCAACCAAGATATCATTCTGTGTGTGATCAAAACCATTTACAAACACAAAAGAATTACTTCCTGACTTAAGAAAATTAGTGTAAAAAATTCTAATAAAATAAAAATGAAATCATATAAAAACTTTAAAGAAAAAGAAATAGAAAAAGCACAGAAAGCAGTGGTAAGCAATGAAATGAGTATAGTCCAGATTAGATGGTTCCTGATAGTGTTGTACAGTTGGAGTGATCATTCGGGAATTATTTGAGGGCTTGGAGAGAACAGGAAACATAGGTTGACTGTAAGCTGCTGGTTCTGTTCTAGTTCTCCTACACAGTGTTTTAATTTTGGTATTTTAGTTTTTGAACACTCAGATAATTTATTAATAGCACCAGGGACTGTTCTATATTACTGAAATGAGTATATTTTAGTAATTTAGTGCTATCTTGGCCTGGAAAACAAACAAACAAACCCAAACCCATTGCTGTAAAGTTGATTACAACTCATGGTGATCCCATGTATAACAGAGTAGAACTGCTCCATAGGGTTTTCTTGGTTGTAATCTTTATGGGAGCGGATTGCCAGGACTTTCTTCTGTGAAACCACTGAGTGGTTATAACTGCCAAACTTTCAGATAACCCTCAGGCACTTTAATGATTTGCGTCACCACGAACCAAAAAACTAAACCTACCCCCATCAAGTCAATTCTGACTCATAGTGACCCTCATAGGGTTTCCGAGGCTGTAAATCTTTATAGAAGCATATTGATTGCCACATCTTTTTCCCACAGAGTGGCTGGTGAGTTTGAACCACCAGTGTTTTGGTTAGCAGCCTGATGCCTTAACCACAAAACTCAAAAATAAAACTCATCGTCAAGTCAGTTCTGACTCATGTTGATGTTGTTGTTAGGTACCGTCAAGTCATCTCCATCTCATAGCAACCTTATGTACAACAGAACAAAACACTGCCCAGTCCTGTGCCAAACTCATTATCCTTGCTATACCCAAGCCCATGGTTGCAGCCACTGTATCAGTCCACCTTGTTGAGGGCTTTGACTCTCGATTTTATGAAGCATGATATTCTTCTCCAGAGAATGGTCCCTTCTGACATGACCAAAGTAGGTAAGGTGAAGTCTGGCCATTCTTGCTTCCAAGGTTCAGCATCTTGGTAAGGTTACTGATACACACTGCCTGAGAGCCTCTTATGGAGTTACCACATACATACCACTCTGCTGTCAGCACCCTCTATGAAATGAGATCCTGTGCTGGCAGTGTGTGGCCCAGTCAGCAATCACATTTACACTTTGGGTATCTGGCATGGGCAGAATAATGATTTCCTTCTCAATTCTGTTGAGAATATTCATGATGCTGTAACTGTGGCCATCGGGTCTGGGTATTCATGACAAGCTGAATGCGATGCTGGAGGACACAGAGAGCAAGATCTCCCCAGAGGACAGGACTGAAGGAAGAGAATGTAAAGCAAGGCATGTTCTGAGCTCAGCCATGATGTCTTGAGAGTCACTGGCATTGCCACCTCCTTTCCCGTACCCTACTCCAATCTCTTAAAAAATATTCCTTCTATTCAAATGCTTACCGAGTTGTTTCCACCCTCTATTCTACTGTTTTAGTTTAAAATTTAATTTCTCATCTGAACTACTGGAATAATTTTTCCAATGTAATGACTCAGTTTTTAAAAACAGACTATAATGCAAACAGAAAGATATAGGTAATGCATATGCCCTTGGGTGGTATAAGTAGTTACAGTGCTTTGCTGCTAACTGAAAGGTTGGAGCTTCAAGTCTTCTTAGAGGTGCCTTGGAAGAAAGCCTTGGTGATCTACTTCCAAAAATTCAGCCATTGAAAACCCTATGGGGCGCAGTTCTACTCTGATGCACATGGAGTTGCCGTGAGTCAGAGTTCATTCAATGACAACTGGTTTATGTACAAGTACTATTTAAATAATAACACTAATACTCTGTAAACCACTCAGCTTAAGAAGTAAAGCATTATCCAAACTTCTGAACCTCGTTCATGCCCTTCCCCTGATTGTAGCCCCACTGTCTCTTACAGGACTGGAATAATCTTTTCATTATCTGTCTTCCTGCATCCAGCATTTTACCCTGTATTCACATATCTCTTCCACACTAGGCACAGATATATGGTGCTAAGAGGGAAATCCTATTGTGTGACTTGCCTTGTTTGTGGGGTAATGTGTACAGTGTAGGACATTAAGGTCTGCACAGTGCCCATGGTGCCAGAATATACCTTCTCTGAACTCCAGCTGCCACCTACCCTGGCTGTGCACCCCTCTGCTCCCTTCCCCTGTCCTTCCTCTATAAAACTTTCTCTGTGACCAGGGATTGATTTAGCTTCCATGCACCTGGTACCTTAGTGACCACTGATTTGGAGTTAGGAGGAGAGAGACCATTGTGCTCTGGGAGGATGGGGACAGCTTATAGAGGAGGGAGAACTTGGGTAGGCCTTAGAGGAAGCACAGAGATCTTTCTTTAAATTGCCTGTCTTTATGGTCTCTGAATTAAAGCTTCTTAATTTCTTTTGCTTTTTGTTTTTTGAAAGTAAATTTTTTATGGTCATTTGTATTGATCCTCTGTGTTACCCACACTGTGGGGTCATTTTAAGACGTGGCCATGATGACAACATGGTACTCACTTGGATGGCTGTTCTGGTGGTGTTTGACTGTGCTCTTTGAAATATTCCTCCTGCAGGGCCACCCTTTGAGGATGATGGCTGTGTGAACGCTGCTATGGCCAGCCAGAGGCGCCAGAGCACCGTGAGCAGCATGCTGGACCACAGGGTGAGACTGGGCCCTGCAGCGCCCCATAGCCCGGAACCTGAGAGTGAGGAGGCAGAGTTGCCCCTGGAAGAGTATGTGCCCACAGGCCTGGAGCTGGCTGCTCTGAGGCCTGAGAGCCCCCCACCTGCAGAGCAGGAGTGTACCGACCACAGCCCCGATGGGGATTCCAGCTCTGACTATGTCAACAACACCTCTGAGGAGGAGGACTATGATGAAGGCCTACCAGAGGAGGAGGAGGGCATCACCTACTACATTCGCTACTGCCCTGAGGATGACAGCTACCTGGAGGGCATGGACTGTAATGGGGAGGAGTACCTGGCTCATGGTAGTCCCCATGTGGAGACTGACGAATGCCAGGAGGCAGTGGAGGAGTGGACGGACTCGGCTGGCCCACATCCCCTTGGCCCTGGGGCCGAAGGCAGCCAGAACTACCAGGACGGCCACCTCCCTATCCCGGAGCATGAAGCCTTCACTCTGGAGACCCATGACCAGGAGGACGGCGTCCACTACTGTCCTGGTGAAGAGGGATACCAGGAATACTACCCAGCAGAGGCCAATGGGAATGCAGGCGTGGCCTCCTCCTACAGCTTAAGGCGGGGGGATGGGGACCTGGAGGACCAGGAGGAGGACATCGACCAGATTGTGGCTGAAATCAAGATGAGCTTGAGTATGACCAGCATCACCAGTGCTGGTGAGGCCAGCCCTGAGCATACACACTTGCAGGGGCCTGAGCCGGGGCCTGGGGACTCCACAGAAGCCTGTCTGCCAGGCGAGGGTAACCGTAGCCCCAGCAGACACGAGGGCCGGCCCAAATCACTGAACCTCCATGTGGAAGCCAAGCACCCTGGAGACCCCCAGAGAGTCTTCAAGACCAAGACCAGGACCCCAGAGGAAAGGCCAAAGTGGCCCCAAGAGCAGGTAGGACTCTATGGCTGGCTATGAGGAAGGGGTGGAGGACCCAGAAAGTAAAGGCTGTTCTAGTGTAGCCACACAGGTGCTGAAACCCAGGTCAAGGGAGGGAGACCAGAGCAGAGGAGCCTGATTATTCAAAACATTCTGATCATTCTTTTTCTGTTTTAAATTTTATTGTGGTAAAATCTGTATAACAAAACATCTTTAACATTCTTAAAGGTATAATTCAGTGACATTAATTATACTCCCTCTGTTGTGCAACCGTTACCATTGTCCATTTCCAAAAGATTTTTCATCATTCCCGACAAACTCAGTAGCCCTTTAGTAATAACTCCCCATTCTCCCTCCACTCAGCTCCTGGTAATCACTATTAAACTTTTGACTCTATATATTTGACTATTCTATGCATTTTATATAAATGAGATTGTACAATATTTGTCCTTTTATGTCTGACTTATTTCACTCAGTATAATCTTTTCATGGTTCATGCATATGGTAGCATATATCAGAACTTCATTTCTCTTTATGGCTGAATAATATTCCATTGTATGGATATTCTACATTTTTTTTATCCTGTCATGTTGATGGACATTTGAGTTGTTTCTACCTTTTCTCCTTATTGTGAATGGTGCTGCTGTGAGCATTGGTGTTCAAATACCTGTTTGCATTTCTGCTTTCAAGTGTCTTGTGTATAAATTGCTGAGTCATAAGTTAATTCTATGTTTAACTTATTGAGAAACTGTCCACTGTTTTCCTCAGTGGCTGTATGTACCATTTTATATTCCTACCAGCAGTGAACAAAGGTTCCAATATCTCCACATCCTCAACAACCCCCACTGTTTTCTGCTTTTCTGATAATTGGCATCCTAGTGGAGGTGAAGTGGTATCTCAAAGTGGTTTTGATTTGTACCTATCCTAAGGAGCCCTGGTAGTGTAGTGCCTAAGGCATTTGACTGCTAACCAGAAAGCTGGCAGTTCAAACCCACCAGCTACTCCATGGAAGGAAGACTGGGCAATCTACTTCCATAAAGATTTATTGCCTTGGAAACCCAGCAGGGATTGCTGTGAGTTGAAATCGACTTGATGCCAGTGAGTTTTTTTTTTTTTTTTTATGACTGATGACATTGAGCATCTTTTCATATGCTTGTAGGCCATTTGTTTATCTTTTTTGGAGAAATGTCTATTCAAGTACTTTGCTCATTTTTAAATTGTATTGCTTGTCTTTTTGTTGTTGAGTTAGAGTTCTTTACACATTCTGGATATTAAACCCTTATCAGATACATATGGTTCCCAAATATGTTCTCCCATTCTGTTGGTTGTCTCTTTGCTCTGGTCACTCTTCAGTGCCCCCTGTAGATTAATTAGTAAATACCAAAGAAGTCTCTTTGAGGGTGCTGCTTGGCATCCAGGCCTCCCACACGAGTTCTGTTTCTAGCCTCTCCCCTGGACCTGCTCATGATGGTAGCTGTTCAGTGTACCTTTCCTGTCCACTCCTTCCAGGTGCTTTTTAATCTCATCAGGACATAAGCAAAGATGTGGCAGTGCAAGGGAGTAGTCTTCAGTGGCCAGTGATGGGGTGCCCCCATGGCAGAGGGCAGGGAGTTGAGCCCATGCTTAGTGGCCATTGTGCTTGGCAACGCTTCTCTGAAAGCCCAGGGAGCCTTGACATGATGGACAATTAGCTATAAGTGACTATTTTGAAAAGAATTATTTGAAGTCTTGGAGACAAAGTCTTGGAGAAGAAATACATGCTAATGAGGCCAATGGATTTAAGTATAATTATATCAGTGGTAGAATTCTCCCTTCCATATGGAAAACCCTAGCTCAATTCCTAGCCAGTACACCTCATGTTCAGCCACCACCCAATCTTCAGTAGAGGCTTGTGTGTTGCTGTGAGTTTCAGTGCAGTTTCCAGTCTAAGGTGGACTAGGAAGAAAGGCCTGGTGGCATACGTCTGGAAATCAGCCAGGGAAAACCCTGATTACAATAATCTGATTCTGTTCGGCAAGGGGTTGTCATGAGTCAGGGGCCAACTTGATGGCACCTATCAACAACATACTTCCTTCTTATTATAAGCAAAGTGTGTACTCTAATAAGCATATCTGAAAGCTGCCTTTCTCAAAAACCCACTGTACAGATGAAGGTAACAAGTATCTACTTCCATAGAGATACTACCTTGGAAACACAAGGAGGGGTCGCTATGAGTCAGATCCGATTTGATGGCAGTGAGTTTGTTCTTATGTAAATGGACTTCCATTTGGCCAGTTTTGTAGACAAATGAATGTGAACTACTTTCATATTTCTAAGTAATTTTAATTATATATATATTTTAAGAGGAGCTCATGAGCTTGAAAAAATATATGTAGTAAGAGCATATGTTGGGAATATAAATTGCATTGACTCATCTGGCAATTGTGTTTTGAAGACTTATGTTCCTTTTAATGATTATTAAGTGTAAATTGACTTCCCCTTCATTGTGTTTTGCGTTTTCTGTGGGCTCTATGATATAAGGAGCTGCCATTGTTCTAGCCAGTGATGGGAGAGCTTGCCCACCAGGCAGGCAGGCTTTGGGCCAAGGTCTGGGCGTCAGGCCAGAGCTGTGGCTTCTCTGTCTTTGTGGGGCCTGGACTCATGCCTCATGGAGGTGGTACTGCTGGGATTGATGTGGGCTGCATAGAGTGAGGGGCACACTGTGCATTGTTGTGACAAATCACATTTCTGACAAAGTGCTTGCCAAGAGAGAGTATCTTTAGAGACTGGAGGAGGCATGAGCAGTATGTGTTGCTGTTTTCTCACTCCGCTCTAACCAAATGCTAATTTGAGTGGAAATGGCAAGACTTTGGTTGGAGGGCCCAGGGAATGAATGAGTGAATGAATGAGTGGGTGGTTGGGTGATGGTGGCTGCTAGAAAGGGCTGTTAATGGATGGGCAGTGTTTGAGGACCCAGGAGGGGTTCTGTTCTTCAGAGAAGAGGCATTGAATGGAAAAGTAGGTAGCTTCTCTCCCAAAATAGAGTGTGTCCTTGAAGTAAATGTGCTTTCTTATTTTAAGACACTGGAAAAGCTCACATAAGCTGTTTAATCATTGCATAACTTTTTTGTTTTATTCTTTCAAACATTCATTTGCAAATTAATTCTATCAAAGGGAGTACCTGTTGGTTCAAAGGCCAACAAAGATCCTATTGAAAATAGGTCCAGAGTGCTCCTCAACGACAGGGAGGTCTGGGGTCTCTGTGTGCATGTGTGCATGCATGTGAGTGGGCAGGGCCTTCCTACCCTGTTCCAGAATTGGAACTCTGAAATTCGCCTAAACAGAGCTGCCGGCCATAAGGAAGTCTGGAAAGGAAGATGATATGAAGAAGGAAATGCCCCAAGAAATATGGGAAATTACACCCTGCTTCCCAAAAAAAGGAGCCCACTGCTCCCCCAGGGACAGCAGACAAGTACCAGGAACCAAAGGCTTGGCCTTAGACAGGGCACAGGATTCCTGGGAAAACTTTACCTACAGGCCCAGAGGACATATATGTGAGTCTCAAGTTGCCTTCTCTTTTCCCAGTGCCATCTGCACCAATAGTGTAGCTGTGGCCTGCAAGTAAAGCTGTGGATGTGTATGAAAAATGCAAGGGGAGAATTGGGCAGTATTGGCCACTTCGTTGTTTTAGACTTTTGCTGTTTTAGAGTGTAGTCTATGGACCAGCAGCACTGAAGTCAGGCCCCATTCTACCAAAAACCAAAGCCATTGCTGTCTAGTTGATTCCCACTCATGTGATACAGAGTAGAATTGCTCCATAGGGTTTTCTTGGATGTAACCTTTATGGAAGCAGATCACTGGTGCCTCTAGGTAGGTTTAAACTACCAACTTTTAGGTAAGTAGTTGAATGCAAACTGTTTGCACCTGTTGTTAGGTGCCGTTGAGTCGCCTCCAACTCATAGCAACCCTGTGCATAACAGAATGAAACTGTCTGGTCCCATGCCAGCTTTAGCTACTGTGTGAAGTTTTCCTGTAATATATCAGACAGTGTCTCACTGCTATTCAAAAGGTTTTCACTAGCCAATTCTTTGAGAAATGGATGGCCTCTTCCTTCTTCCATGTCTGTATTAGTCTGGAAGCCCCACTGAAACCTGTCTGCCATGGGTGACCCTGCTGATATTTGAAATACTGGTGGTGTAGCCTCTACTTTCACAGCAACACACAAGCCACCATAGTATGACAGACTGACAGACAAGTGGTGGTGTTTGCACCTGGACCTACTGAATGCAAACCTGCACTTAAACAAGATCCCACATCTAAGTTGGAGAAGCAATGCTGTAGAGTACTTCCAATGAAGGAAATATTACAGAGCATCCATCTCCTCTCTTCTCATGTTAAAGCTTAAAAAACTATGTCATGCTATTTTTCAGTATATTGAATAGCATTTTAGTCACTTCACAGAGTACAATATTACAATAGAATTTAAAATGGAAATGTGAAAAATGTACTCTTCCTAGTCCCCATCATCCTTACAGTCTATCCTTACAGATGAGCTGTTTTTATTTTTCCACATCCCTTTTCAGACTATAGCACTGAACATAAATAATATCTAGTTATCTTCATAGCACTGATCTAATTTTGTCACTCAGTGTTTTAAATCTCACATCTTATAAATGGTTCTCCGTGGGTGCCATATCATTTTCATGATTAGGTTTACTGATGTGTTATTCTGTTAGGGCTATGTGCTGTAATTTACTTGTCTGCACATATGCTGCCATTGAACATACATATTGTGGATGGCATTTTCTCTTACACATAATGCTACCATGGACATCTTTGTGAAAATTATGTTTTCTTTCTGTTGGTTTTAGGCCTTAGAATAAATTCATACGTGAAATAGCAGTGTTGACCATTTTCCCATGCCTCTCATCTAATTGTATCTCCTCTCTCTTCCTAATTGTATCTTTTTCTGTGAATGCTTGATTCAAGCCTTTACCTTTTGGAGTCTTGATGCTTTTCCAATTTATCAGAGCACT